CACTTGTGGTTCTGGTAGTGCCACAAAGATCCATATGTATCAGGTCAAGTGCCTAAGAGGTGTTGATTTCCTTAGAAGGAAATGACACTTTGGTTTGCTTTCCTTGTTGACATGCTTTACAAAGGTGATCATCTTTAGAACTAATGTCAGGCAGTCCTTTAACAGCTTTCAGCTTTAGAATCTTGGACATATTTCTTGAATGAAGATGACCTAATCTCTTGTGCCACAACTTTGCTTCATCACAGGTTGTTAAATTACATTGAGTGACCTGACTTTCTTCAGTGACTGTGTACACATTTCCTGAAGATCTATTAGTTGAGAACAAAACTCGTTTTGATTCAAGATCAATCACATTGCATCTTTCTTTATTGAAACAGACTTCCTTCCCACTGTCGCACAATTGAGTAACACTGAGGAGATTATGTTTGAGTCCTTCAACCAATAAAACTTCTTGAATTTCTGGCAATTCTTCAGACTTACTCACAGTACCAATTCCAACAATCTTAGCTCTTTGATTATCTCTAAAGACAACATTCTCACCATCAAACTGCTTTAAAGAATTAAATTTTGAACCATCACCTGTTATGTGTCTTGAGCAGCCACTATCAACATACCCTTTGTCCTCAGTATTACAAGCTTTAAAGGCTGTTTACATAAGAAGACTCACAGAGTTCATCTTCTTAGGGATCCACATCAACTTAGACTTCACCACTGACCCCTTGTCTTTGACTTTTAGAGCTTGAGTTAAGTCTGACTTCTTCACACACATCTTAGTAACCTTGTAGTTCCTTACATCTGATGTAACAAAATCTCTTTGATTGAAACTTAATGGATTTTGGGTATTATCAAGAAGATCAAACTTGGACCTCAGAGGTTTTACAATGGGATATCTTGCATACACTTCACCGGTGGTTGCCTTCACAAATACTGAATGCTTTTGATTAACCTTTGCAACTGAATCACATACATAGCCAATCCCAGTCTTTCCAATTTGCTTAGTGGATTGTTTTCAAATTTCAGCCATCTTCAGGGACCTTTCCTCAAGTATAATAGACAGTTCTTCCTTGCACCTTTTAGTAGACCACTGAGTGTTAACCTGAGCCTTAAGTAAGCTTAGGAAAATAAGGGAAATTGAACACATGGTTGACAGTTTGAGTTTTAACTGTTTGGTGAGGATTTATCTAGACTTTAACAGTTTTGAATTCAGCTTTCTGATTTGAGACTTCTGTTGATTACACTTCACAGCAAGTCTTTCACATTCTTCCAGAATTTTCTCAATCTCTGTGTCAGTGTCTTCTTCAACTTCAACTGAATCTTTTGGTGGTTCAAGGATGGCCATGAATAAACATTCATCTGCTTGAGCTTCTTCAGGTTTCTCTTCTTCAATAGCTGTTTCCCAATCTGAAAGTAAGGCTTTTATTCCAAACCTTCCTTTGTTGTTTGGTCCTTCAAACTTTCTCTGAGTTTGCCCCTTAGAGCTAGGACAATTAGACACAACATGACCAAGCTTACCACACCCATAGCATGTTAGGTTTTGCAGCTGAGATTTCTTTTTAAACCTGAATTTTCTGAATTTCTTAGCTAGGTAAGGCACTTCATCCTCTTCAAGATCATCTTCAGACTTAGACTCAACTTCCTCAACATTTTCCTTGGCTTTGAGTGCAATTTCTCTTCGATGTAGAGTAGGAGGACCAACTCTCATCTCATAAGCTGTGAGAGAGGCTTGAAGTTCATCAATCTTCATGTTGGATAAATCTTTGTCTTCTAGAATAGTAACCTTAGCATTGAATCTGGAAGTGAGAGATCTAAGAATTTTCTTGCACACATCAGAGTCTTTAATGTCTTCACCAAGAGCTCTTATATTGTTTACAAGATCATTGATTTTGAACATGTATTTTGCAATAGTCTCTCTTTCTTCCATTTTACAAACTTCATAATGAACCTTGAAAAGCTGAATTTTGTTTTCCTTTATAACATTGTTTCCCTCATGAGCTGCCTGAAGTGAATCCCACATTTCTTTGGCTGTCTTACAATTTTTCACTCTGGTAAATTCTTGCTGCTTCAAAGCACAGAAAAGAACATGTTTAGCCTTCCCATCATTAGCTACAGCTACTTTGTCTTCTACAGATGGATTTTCAGGATTGAGAATCACAACACCATGCATGGTAGCATGCCAAACATCATAGGACTGAGACATCAAAAAGGCTTCCATTCTAGTTTTCCAAGAATCATAGTTTGAGCCTTCAAACCCAGGAGCTTTGTTAATAACTTAACCTTCATCCTTAGCTAGGATCAACTGCAGGCCTGTTAGAACTTTTCAAGGCTCTAATACCAATTGATGAACCAAGAGGGGGGGTGAATTGGTTAATCTCTTTCCAACTGAATCAACAAAGTATAGAAGCAAGCATTCAAATAGTACTAAAACTGGGTTTACAAGGAAACCCTTTCAACTAGGGAAAACCTTAGTTCTTGGCCTCAGCCAATAAAGTCCACTACTATCTGTATGTACCTTGTTACACACTCAGTTGTTTCACCCTCTGCACACACCCAAGCACAAGAATGGACACTAGTTTTCACAACCAATACACACATTAGTTGATTACAGTGCACACGCACACTCCCCCTATCCTAAGCACCCTTGCTTGGACCAACAAAGCTCATATAGCTCACCACATACATCATTACAAATGATAAACAATATAATCAAGGTCTTTCAATAAGTGAAATAGCTTAAACAGCACAAAACTCCATGTTATTACCTCAAAAACACCAATCTGCTGCAGCTAGGGTTTGAGGGGTAAAATTGGAATTTCCCTTCGAGATCAGTTCACCAGTAGCTTCCACAGTCTTATTTCACTGTAGTACTCATGTTCATATCTTTAAACAATTCAGCATAGCATGAGTATATCACAAGATTAGGTCTCAGTACTTCAACAAGCACGAAACAACACTGTTTTAAGGATCTACAAGTTCAATATAACAATGTGCCAATATATTGTTCCTCAGTCAATTTCAACAGCTTCAATTCACCAAAATATACTTGCTAGCAGGAAGATAATTCATGAAATAGCTAGACTTAACCATTTTGTACTTAAACCACAGATTAAACTATAAACTGAGCCTAAATGTTGAACAAGAGATTCAATTTTGGTTCCAGCAAGTTTTTGTTGAAAACAAACTACTGAGCAAGTGTAAATAGCATAGTTATACCTGTGACAGCCCTCAGAAATGACCACAGCAACTTAGAACTCAAACTCACTACTCAATCCAGCCCTTGCACCAGTAATTCTGACAGCAGCAACATCTCAACACATTGCTCACACACAAGGCTTGAGTCAGTGGGTTTTTCTTGCATAAATCATCATCATAAATTACAGAAAAACTTGTTCAATAAGAAGAGCTCGAGAGTTCTTAGCTGCAGCTCAATCTTTAGTCTATTTTTAATGCTATAAACCCTAAAAGGCTCCTATAACAGCATATATATAGACCTGTGCAAATACTTGACTGCTTCTCACTAAATTCATTGCTGTCACCCTTCAGCCAATGATTATATAAGAATAATTCTGACATTCTCTCAGTGAAAGGACAATATTGCCCTTGATATCTCACCATATAATGACACCTTGTGCATCAATAAAATCAGTACATACAGGTGAGGCTTCAATGACTTTTATCTTTGCTTAGGCTCTAAGTTCTGCAACATCATTGGAGGACAATATTTTCATGGACCACAGCCACGTGTCACAATCCTGAGCATACTTGGAAAGCGTAAAAACCAACCTTATACCAGCTGTATATTACATTTAGCAAAATACTGTTGCTGAGGCTGTATTAATCACAAGGTAGGCTTAACCATAGCTATTCAGTGCAATGCAGCTAGTCAGACATACGAGTATTCATAGAATACAGCTGAGACAGTACTAAAATACCCCTATGAGCACCTGTAGCAAGTTTCTTATACACTGAACCTCACTGAAACCAGCTAATTTAGCTAAATCAAGTGTACAAGCTGTGATGAATTAATACATGCCAATGTGAAAAGTCTGTCACTGCAATGTAAATGACAATGCTGCCCCAGTATCATATTTTAAGCCACAATGCAGATAGGATATACACTTAAAAGTTAAGACCACTGAACCAAAGCTTTTTGACATTAAACAGGCAAATAAGTCTTTAGGCAAATAAGCTTGAGATTCAAGTGGAAATGGAGATGCAACTGAAGTGCCTAAGTTACATATTGATTTATTTTTGTTTCCATGGATGCATATCAGGATAGGGTATGCTGTGGTGCAATTGTAAGGTTGCTCCATTGTGACCTGGAGGTCATAAGTTCAAAACCTGAATAGCCTCTCCATGCGGAGTTAAGGCTGCATACATCTAACCCTCCCCAGACCCCGCAATGGCGGGATCCTCGTGCCACTGGGATTTAGCCCATGGATGCACATGAGGCATTGTTCGTAAATTGAATTTTATCACAAGGAAAACATCTCTTTTTTTTTCCTCGTCTTTACTTTTATGTATTTGTGTTATTTTGTTTGGCTGTACTAAAATTTCCAAATCCCTTGTTACATGTTTTTATTTATTTTTATCATTATTCTTTTTAAAAGCTTACATTTGTAATTTTCAATGCATTGCATCTCCCAATTATTTTGTTTTTTCAATGGGTTTATACATGTGTGATTATCAAAACCGAGCCTTTTGGCAGCATTCCTGCTTTGTTTTCACAAATAATGAAAGACATTGTTTTGCGGCATTGCTGTTTATGGTGGGCCCAATTGCTTAAAAATGGTGCTATAATTTGGGATTCCTTTCATTTAGTGATTTAAGTGGTAATGTGGTGGTTATTGACTTATGCTGCTATGCATCATGCCGTGTCGGACATTGAACTTCAGAGCCCAACTTAATCTGATGACTTGTTGCATCACTAGGCCCGGAACCAAAAATCTCTCTGTTATCTTATTTAATTAGAATATCTTATGGGAATGTTATGGGTTATGTAGGTGATTTCCCAACATCCCGCTCTTTCTCTACCACCACCATCTGATGCTACACCACATCCTCTTGGCCATTCCCTTTTTCCATTGTTGCAGTCTGTTTTGCAGACAAATATTCTTCAAAGGGTATGGCTTAACCATATATTTTTTACTTCCTTGAACTCTAATTTTGTTTAGAATTTTTTATTTGTCATGCTGTTCTCAACAGGAAAATATTCTAAACGTAATGAAGCAACTCTCTACTGGTGATCATACAGGTGCTAGCAACCATCGATTCCTCTAGAATCTAGTTTTTTTTTTTTACTCAAATATATAACTCTTACTTCATGCATTCAGCCTGCCGTGTAGCTGATGGAGGATGCACGCCAGTGAGCACGGCTGTCATGGAGAAATCTTTGGTATGTTATATATAATAAAGGGTTTCATTGGCCATTCTGTATTACATTTACATAAATTATTTTGCTCCTCAAAAAGTCATGCACTCTCAATCTTAATTATTCTGGTATGATACATTCTATAATATATAACAGTAGATTTTATATTATATTTAGGAAATACATTCAATATGGACAATATGGAAACATATTTAACATTTATTTATTTATTTTTTTGATAAGTATATTTAAATTTTATTTATTTATATATATAACAGTAGATTTTATAATATATTTAGGAAATACATTCACTATGGCCAATATGGTAGCATATTTAACTTTTATTATTATTATTATTTTTTGTCTTGAGTTCTGAATGCCTCTTTTCTTTCGTGTTGTCTAATTTAATTTTTGCTTCTTTTCTCGTTTGCTCAATTTTCAGTTTTTAAGTGTCACAGGAACAAAACTGTTTTTCAGCATCTCAGATTTTGATGTTAAATCAGATCACATCGTTATATTTTTCATGCTAACGGGTAGGTGGCACTTGGCACTAAAATGTAAATATATTGCGATCCAGAATAACAAAGTGTTGTTAGACTGGTTCAAGAGCTCAAATAAAATAGTAAATACAAAAGAACTATCTGCTCTTAAAATGCAATTAAAACAGAAAAGGTTAAAAAATTGCAATTTAATAAATCAACAGATATTCTAATGGGTCATTGCTCTTTGCAATGGTCAAATTTTGGATTGACGGTGAGGACGTGTGTTCGTGTTTTAGAGTAGCTACTTTGTTTAAGGTTTTGTACCTAGTCTACTTGAACCTGGGTTTGGAGAAGTGCTTAAAGGAGAAACATTAGCAAAGTCTTTAATCCAAGACTCCAATTATTCATCAAACTGGCCAATTTTATGAATTTTTTAGCAATGAGGAATTAATCTTAGTCTTTTCCTTAATTCATATTTCCTAATTTATTTCTTTTAGTAAAGGAAAAGAGGAGGTATGTTCTTCTTCTTTCGCAATTTAATTGTTTCTCTCTATTATATTCACTCACCCCATCATTTTAATTATATTTTTAATTAAAAATGATATGCTAACAAAATAGCATAAACACAGTGCTTTTCATTTTAATTACTGTAATATGATGGCTGGGCTTGGGGGAAAGATTGGTATAAAGAATTGAGTGAATATTTACTTTCGTTTTAAGAAATTGAGTGAATATGGATGGCCCATTTTTTTTTTTTTTTTTTTTTTTTTTTTTTTTTGTCATAAGTAACAGGATTCTTTTATTTTTCATTTTTCCTAGTCTTTCAAACCAAAACAAATGGCATCTGTCAGTGAATTGTTTGGAAGAATACCATAAAAGAGAAAATCCGTACCATTATTAAACTTGACTCGTTATGACACAATGCATGAAATTCACTGATATCCATGCCACCCTGCCCAATGATAATGCAATGAACTTTCTTGTACTATTTGTATAGTGAGGTTTTAGCTTTCATTTCCAGTTGTTTCATTTCTGTTTATATAGTAAGATCTTGTGACAGCTTACATGAACCACCCATTAAGGTTGTGTATCTTTGTTTATTTATTGAAGGGCTTCATCTTTTATATATTTGTTTTTTGGGTTGCAGCTAGAGGCAGCTCATGATAGGGAAAAGGAATTACTTCAGGAAATAACCGATTTGCAGTGGAGGTACTCACAGTTATATAGACACAAATTTATGTTTCACCATTATCAAAATGTCAATTGTTCTCGATCCATTAATTTCATCTGTGTAGGCTAATATGTACCCAAGAAGAGCTTCAGAAATATAAAACAGAACATGCTCAGGTTAATTAGTTATCTATCCCGACCCCATGTTTTTGCATTTAGATTCTAATTATTTTATTTTTTCGGTAGACATTTTTCTGGTCTCTAACGTATCAATTTCAGTTGTGATTTTGTATTCTCCAACTGGCAGTAGGAAAGATGCGGAACGAAGTTGTCAACCCTCTCCAACGACGAAAAAGAGAGTGAAAATGTATTGACCAAGAGACATGATTTTAAGCATTTAGGGGTTTGATTTTATTTGGTTAGTCTGTTTTAACTTTTGGTAGTTGATGAAGAACTCTAGTGCATAGCTCCAATTTGTGCAGAATTTCTTGTACATGTTCCTAATAGTATCTATCTTTTAACTCGTCGTGTAACATATTCCTATACTTTTAAACACAGCTACATATCTAGCATAATGCTTACATGTATAGTGGAGTGCTGTTTTTTGGAATTGTACCAATGTTCTTCCATCCTAATAATTTTTCGATTTTTGTTGTTTATAAATCTCCTATTCCCATGTTAGTGTTTAAGCCGGTGAAAATGATAGGATTAGAATTACTTTTGAAAAGTTCATGTAACACGAGAATGATAGTGTTTGAATTTTCAATGTGCACCATGTGATAAATCTTATCTCTTTCGCAAACCTTTTTTTAGCAAAGAAAAAAAGTTGAGGACCTCGTTATCCCAGTTGTGCCCACACCAAAAGTAGCTGAATAATTCAAGTGATATCTAGAAATTTAGAGACATGCATGACATCTTGATTCAATCTCAATAGTCACTTTGCTGTACAGGGTAGGTAATTCCAGGAAAATGTCTGTACGGGGTGTGGAACTCTCAAATCTCTTAGTCGTTGGATGTGGTGATGGGGTTCACTTCAGCCATTGGATGTCGTGATAGGATCCACAGAACGAATAATCTGACGACTAAAAAACTCCCCAGAGAATGTATGCCGAGTATTGTATAACTTCTCCTAATTTCCAGAATGCTGGTATGGTCTTTGACATCCGATGGTGGTGGTGGTTATACCGAAATTGGATGTGGACAAGTCATGGTTATGCACCCACATGTGTATGTGTATTAGTGTATATATGTATAGGGATATACGTTAGTCATTAGGCAACCAAAATAGCTTCTTCATTCCCGGAAAAAAATGTCTACTACTGAAAGTGATTCCACTGGGTCTGACTTTGCTTCTGGTTATGGTTCGGGAAGCGGCTCGGGTGCTGGTTCAGTCATCACGTCAACTAATGATAAAATTATATAGTTAACAAAAATGATAAAATTATGTTTTTATCTTCTTCTTGTATTTTCATCTACTAATGAACGAAAAATGACTAAAATGGCTATGAGATTCTGGCTCTACCATCTTCTCTCTTTCTTTCCAAATTATCTTATTATCCCCAGCATCTACATGCAAACACAGCGAACCACAGCGAACATATATACATACATATACACCAAGCCCTAAACTTATCCACCATCTTCCACCGCTGCCGCCACGCCAGACGCTACCTAATTAAAGACCCTATTAAAAACCATAGAAAGAAACTTCCCCCATTGAAGCACACTAAACTTGTACATACATATACATATACATATGGATAGACACACTACAAAGAAGGGCTCTCGATGCTAAGTAGTGCTCTCCAAGAGCTGCCTTATGAGATTCTGGCTCTACCATCTTCTCTCTTTCTTTCCAAATTATCTTATTATCCCCAGCATTTACATGCAAACACAGTGAACCACGGCCATTAAAATTAGGGCTTGGTCTGCACGTTGCACAATATCAGTAGTGGCAGGTGGTGTGCGTTGTGGGGTACAACCAAATTTGTGCAAAATAGTGTGGCCAAGTTTTAATATTTATAAATGTCACTACTACCTCTAACTAAAAATATAGTTAGGGTGAGTAGGGATTATCCCAAGGGATTGTGGGTGTACTAGCAATGGAAACAATATATAGGTTAGTAGGTCGAGTGATCAAAAGTGGATTGTTTGGTTGATTGGACTACAAACTAAACTAAACAAGTTCAATGTAAAATAAGCAATTTATATGAAATTTAGAGAAAACAAGAGAGTGAGGTCTTGGAGTCTAGAGGTCACCACTAAATATCACTATTCTAGACATTCAATGTAAAATTAATGAGGGGAAACATGTGTTGCAATTTGAGAGTGTGTGATTGATTAATTCAACAAGCATGGATGACCAATTAAGCTTATATTGTCTAAGCAACTTAGTAAATAGCATAATACATCAAATTAAGCCATTAATCCTTCCTTTAAGCTTACAATCCAAACACATCACATGGTTAGAGAATAATACTACTTGCATTTATAAGCATGGAACATCAAACAACAAGTATGGATTATCCTCCCATCTAACAACTAAGGCAACTACACTACAACTAAGCTAAGGGTATGAAAATTAAACTAAAGAAACTAAGGGAGAGGCACAATCCATCAAGATATGAGTATGAACCATCAAATAAACCACAATAGTATTCTATTAAGTACTATGCCTTGACAATCTCTAGATCCATAGCATCAACACACATAAACATGCATCAATAACACAAAAACTAGAGATAAACAAATAAACATTTATTCTAGCATACATAGACATATGGATAGAATGAAATGATTAATTGGAAGTATTAAACCACACAAATCATTGAATAAATAAAATTCATATATAAAATAAGTGTCAAGATAAGATTACAACACAAATCTCCTCAAAATACAAAGCATTAGAGTCTAGAAGGCATACTTAGGGCTAACTCTAGCTCCAAGAAGATGTTTAGCCACTCATTGAAGTAGTCATCCAACTCTCAAGGGCTATCTCCATAATAAGAATGATCTCCTTCTTGATGGAAACCCTAGAAGAATGGAAGAACTCCCAAGAATGTATCTTTAGCCTCTCCTGCTCTCTAATATTGTTTCTAAGTATATGTCTAAGTGTATGAGATGATATGTAAAAATGGCTCAAAATCCTTATATAGGTAGCTCAAGTGTCACTCCCAATGGTTTGGACTCGTGTACAAGGGCTCCTCTAAATGATTGCACCATGAGCCAACTTTTAATGAGCTGGAACTTATTTTTTTCGGATTTGAGGAGGTTCGATCGATCGAACTATGTTGAGATCAATTGAACTTAGGTGAGATCTATTGAATGCTGCAGAGGTCGATCATCCTTGGCGACGCCTTTTTGAATAAAGACAAATCTCTGAGATATTTTGAGATATTTTAGGAAAGAGACAAAAGTGGTAGGTGGGGTGGTAGGTGTAGATAAGATCGAATATTTTTGATCTATCGAAGAAATGTTGGATTGATCGAACTTGGTGGATTCTCTTGGATAAGGACAAAGGCTTGGATCCATCTTGAAGTGTCTAGATCGATGTTGCTTTGATCGATCGAAGTGATGTTCAGATTGATTTGAACTTGCTGATTTTCAAATTTTGCTTTATTTTGTTTCCACTTTGCTCCTTTCTTCCATCCAGCTTGAGTTAGCTTCTTTAATGCTCTTATTTGGCTGAATTAATTTATTTTAGGGATAAGTGCCTGAAAAGGGTAATAATATGAAATTAGTCTAAAACGGAAAAGTAAGATAGATAAAGGTCCTAGAATACCTAAGTTTAAGGGGTTTAATTGCGTATTTTTCAACGTTCATCAGCAGGATATTATTATGACACGTTATTGTGTTGTTGGGGTAAGTTATTATCTGAGTTGCAAGATAATAGACTGACGTGCATATGAGAAACGTTAAAAAAATATATAGGTATTTTGAAATACCTAAAATATACAACAATTAGTAGCACTTTCAACTAGAAGGAACAAGAGCGTATATATATATATATATAGAGAGAAAACGAAAAGAAAAAAAGAAAAGAAGAAAGAGACGGTTGATTATTAGTGTGCATTGGTGATTAAGAACAACTCTAATGACTTTTCTAAAATTTTGCAATTTAGAGTTGCCACGTCAGCATTTTTCAAGAGTCACATCAACATTTTCAAGTGGACTATCCAAATTTTAGCTATCGGCATGTGCTCTAATAGTGCAATTTTGCTCTTTAAAAATAATATTATTTTAATATTTTAAAATTTTTAATAATATTTTTTAACTTTTTCCTAAAGGTTATATTTATAGAGGTGAAAACAAATGCAATTTTTTAAAAAAATTATTTTTAAGGAAGAAAATAATAATAATCATAATAATTTGAGAAATAAACTTTTCTAGGGGAATACCGCTGTTAAGGCACTGTTTGTGTTAGCCAAACAGTGCCTTAATGGCTCTACTAAGTGTTGCATAGAAAAGGAAAAAAAATGAAAACTTGTTTTTTTTGACTTTTTTAATCCAAAAAAATCTTTTTTTGGTGACACAAACAGTGTCTTAACAGCTTTGCTTTAATATTGTTGGTGAAAAAAAAAGGCCAAAAATACTAATTTTTGGGATTTTTCTAAGCCAACAGGCCCTTAGAGTCTAATAAAGTGCTTTGGGTCTGTCTTAAAAAAATAATACTAATGGAAGCGGGTCCGCGTGTGGGCCTGCAATTGCTATATGAGCTGCAGTTTTTGGCTACCCATTTGGATTGCCAAAATTTTGGTTCAAAATTTGGCGACCCCATTGAATTGGATTGGGTCGTCTAATCCAACCCATGCTGGCCTAAGAGGCTCCCATTGGAGCTACTCTATGGGGAATTTAAGATTCTTTCTTGATTACTTCAATTTTTGTCTTGGTAGTCAACTTCGCCCATTTATGTTTTGGAATATCGAATCGGTGCATTGAATTTGAAATTTTAAAAAATTTAGTTTAAAAATGCCTGATTCGATGCTCCAAATGCATAGTATATATTAACTCGTTGTAACAAAAAGAAAAGAACGAACTAGTTAATTAAACATTAAAATCAATTTTCTTCCTAATTATTGGTGTGGAGAGTGTTGGACTACTATATCGGCCAAGTTAGTCAATTAGCTTAAAAACTAATGCGAGCGTGCTATAACCAGTGAGATCCGTCGAACTACAATCTCCTTCGAGAATGATGATAGATCTGGGCGATTGCAAAAGGGGAGAGAATTATAACTCCTTTGAAAGTCTGAAATTGCCTCGCAAGAGGACTTTAAAAAATTGCTTGAAAGTAAATTATAAGGAAATCTTTACACCATGGCTATTTGACCAAATCAAAACAAAACCCAAGTATTTTAACGGCCAATCGCAACTTTATTCACTCTTAAATAAACAAATGAATAACTAATAAACTACTCACGACCATCAGCCACAAGCACCCAATTGTTCCTTTCTTCCCACAACTCATAGATAGTTGGCTCATATGTCCTCAAATATTGACCACCAATAAAATCATGAAGGACTTCAACGCCTAAGTTTTTCAGCTCTACTAACAAGGCATGATTGCGATAAATTAGGTTATTATACAACGCCATATTGCTGATCTAACGACCATCTCCATTGAAAAAATGGCCTTATGCCAATATACAATTTCTCCAATTCCTGAT